TTCTCACTGTCAGAAAACTTCTCATTTCCAGGTTGAATCTCTCCTTGATCAGTTTCCATCCATTGTTTCTTGTCTGGCCTTCGGTTGCTTTGGAAAACAGCTTGACCCCTTCCTCTCTGTGGCAGCCCCTCAAATACTGGAAGGCTGCTATCATGTCTCCCCTGGTCCGTTCTTCATATGTTTTAATCTCCAGTCCCCTCGTCATCCTGGTTGCTCTTCTCTGCACTCTTTCTAGAGTCTCAACATCTTTTTTATAGTGTGGTGACCAAAACTGGATGCAGTACTCTAGGTGCGGTCTTACTAAGGCTTTGTAAAGCAGTACTAGAACTTCACGTAATCGTGATTCTATCCATTAATCATAAGTCGGGAGGGAAAATCTATTGGCATGGTGCTGTGTGATAAGGATTGGCTTTGTGTAAGCTTCTGTTTAATAATACTGTGGATTTGCTGTTGGTGCTCTTAATGATTAATCTATGCTAATTGCTTATATGTCAGACTTCATTAAGAAGAATCTGTATTAATTGGATGCTTTTATCTAATGTTCCCAGCCAGTTTTAAACATTTTCACAATGTTTCGCACAGCAAGAAATTGCAATATTTTTTTTTTTGCCCTGGACACCAGATTTACCCAGCTGCGTGAATACATTCACCATAGTCTGCAAGCTAGGATTGATAGGATGGGCCAGATGTGGCTTGTTCAACCCGTATACTGAGTAAATCCTGTCCTGGAGTACAAGGGAAGTAGATTGCAGGTTAAAAGCTGAAGAGGGGTTCAATTTTCGATAAAATTGTTGTCTAGAAGCATCGGGGACCATAGATGTAAACATATGCAAACATTAAAAGCAGTGGTGTGATGCACAAAATGGGATTGAGCCGGTTCGGGGAAACTGGATACTAATTTTACATCTGGTTCACTGAACCGGTAGTTGCAAGGATTGTCTGGCCCCTCCCACCCTGCCCCTCCCCTCCCAGGAGTCTCCACGCGGCCTGTTTTGGATGCCAGCTAAGTGCAGCGCCCGCGCAGAGTCTCTGCGACAGAGGTGGGTTTCAGCAGGTTCTGACCAGTTCTGGAGAACCAATAGTGGAAATTTTCAGTGGTTCAGAGAGCCTCCCAGAAGTTCCGAAGCCTCCAGAGCCCAGGGGAGACTGTTTTCACCCTCCCAGAGGCTCAAATAAAGCCTCCGGAGCCTGGGGAGGGCGAAAAACGGCCCTTCTAGAAGTTCTGAAAGTCCAGAAACGGGCTCGTTTCTGGCCTCCAGAGCCCAGGGAAAGCCATTTTCGTCCTCCCAGAGGCTCAAGGAGAGCCTCCAGAGCTTGGGGAGGGCAAAAAGCCCCACCCCTCACCATGGTGCAGGAGGCCGAGTAGGCTACACCAACCATGGCCACGCCCATCCAGCAAGCAGGCAGACAACGGGTTGCTAAAACTTTTGAATCCCACCCCTGCCTTGATGAATAAATTAGACTTGGGGGAAGGAAGTTTTGGGATAGAGGGAGGGAAATTCTTTTGGTAAACCAATCTTGAGAGAGAGAAATGTCTTTGCCAGATATGCAGAGGAGAAGATAAACGTAACAAATAGAGATCCAACTGAGAATTAAGGAGAAATTTCCCGATTGTGAGAACAATTAATCAGAGGAAAGGGTTGCCTTCAGACGTTATGGGTTTCCAAGGTACTAGACAGCCATTTGTCTGGAATAAGGTCTCCTGCTTGAAGTAGATCAGAAGACCTACAAGCTCCCTTCCAACTCTGTTATTCTGTAATTCTATATTTAAGGTTGGATGTTATCAGCCACCTGGGGCTGTGGCATAGGACAACTCAAATGAGCTAAAAGTTATTTGTGCTGCAACAGAGCGCATAATGCTTGAATGGAAGGAGAGCACCACCGTGTGGCCTTCACAATATTAGTGAAATGAGGACTGCCCCAGAAGCCACTCCTTCTCCTCTTAGTTGATCCAGGCAGCGTGATGCAGGCGGAGCAAAAGGAAAAAAAAAATGATTGGCTTCTACAATGAATACAATGGCTTAACGGAGACACGCAGGGTCCATTAGCTCAAGAAGAATGATTAACTTCCAATTCCATGATGTAATTTTTTTTAAAAAAAAAAATCCCAGAATCCAAAGGGAAGCTGATCAAGAGGGAGGAAGCTGAATCACCAAGTGAGTAAGTCGATGACTCCAATTGGAGACGACAACTTGGAATGTTAGAAGAGTTGAAGGCCATCAAGAAGGAAGTGTTATACAATAGATGGTGGAGAGCAAGACTTCACAATTTGGGATAAAGCAGTTTCCTTTTTTTACTTTTCCGGAGAGATCTGGCATTTGTGACGTTGAGATTGTGATGTCTTTGTGGACTGACTTCAGAAGACAAGTTTAGACTAGTGCTTCTCAACCACGGCCACTTGAGGATGGGTGGACATCAACGCTCAGAATTTCCCATCTAACGCGGATGGGCCTCAAGTTCCAAATTCCCCAGCCAGCATGCTGGTTGGGAAATTATGGGAGTTGAAGTCCACTTATCTTCAAGTAGCCAAGGGTTGAGAAACGTTGATTTAGATATTACAAGTGGGCTCAGTGAGTCTTCGGTCCTTGTGATGCGTGAAGGAAGAGAGATAACTTTTCACAGGTGAAACCTAAATATATATTTTGTACAAATATATACGTGGATTTCTGGGATATCAGTGTCCAATTCACTTTTCTCCTTGGTGGGATCTGTATTTTGGAACAAATTACAATGACAGGAAACAAGTATTTTACTGAAGTTTAGGAAAAGGCTCAAAAATGGATTTATTTCCCAAGGCCCTTTAAATGCTGCTGTTCCGGCTTATATTTTATTGGAAGGTATGTTTTTATTGGCTCTTAAGCTGCCTGGAGCCACTAGAGAAGTCATTTAGATGGTCCAAGAAAATAACTCTATTCCACCATCTCTTTTGAGTAATGTTGTGCTTTTAACTGACACAACTGTGGGCCACTTCACAAAATATTAAGAGGTTGCCATCTCTAATGGTTTAAAAATGGAAAAGTCCCATTTTCAGGACGCAAAAATTAGCAACAGGGGATAGGATGTCTTTTTAACTCAATTTTTTTTAGTCCCAATCTTTAAAAACATATCCAGTTTACCTGAAATTCTACCCCATTTCTGAGAGTTAAGACCAATTTATGAGTGAACAATAACCATTGGGAGGTGGGGACGGGGACAGTAGTTTCAATCCCTCCTTAAAACAGAATCCACTATAAATGGGAGAACAATTTGATAGGATTGTTAAACAGATTGATAACAATTTGCAATGCTTCCCCTCTACTTCTCTAATTGAACTATTTTTTTCCCTGAACATTCTCCCTTAGTTGAGACACAACCATTTCCCCCAAGCTTAGGTTTTGTGTACTGTTTGTGTTGTCTAACAAAATAATTTATATCCTATTTCACCAATAATGGCATTTCAGGCAACTCGAGATGCAGAACATACATTAGGAACGTAGCTTTAGCTAAAACCCTAACTTGGTTAGGTGTTTTTTTTTTAATTTTGTGGATTAAAAGATTCAAAGTCTGAAATGACGTCAGGTTGAGGCATAACAAAAGCTTCAAGCCGAGCCAGGCTGGGGTCCTGTTGCGTGTGATATGAAAACATAGGGACACGTTTTCTTGAAGGCGAGGCGAATTAGAAGCAAGCCACTGCTTTCTTCTGCCTCGGTTCATGCTGCTGTTTTTTTCACCTACAACCAAAATCACAACCAACAGCTGTTCAACTAAGGCAACTGGGCTGCTATTACAGGCAGTGAAAGCCTCTTCCTCTTTAATAAAGGAAGTTTGGTCTCAAAACTGTATTTTGCAGTCGGCGAGGCCTGCTTGGACCATAAACCAGGTGGCTTTTTATGCCATTACCACACAGCAGGAAATGCACAACACTCCTAGGTTGTGGCTGTGCCCACTCAACCTCCATATTTGCAACGCTCCCTCTTGCGAAAATATTAGGCGACCGACTGGCCAAGAATAGGTTCCTCATTCCTGCTGTAGAGGCTGAAGATGTGGTCCTACCTGATCAGTTGATTCAACTATAGAATCACGTTAAACTCACAATGCTGCACATCCGTGCTTTTTCCCCAGCAGAAACAGTACCTATGGGTGTCGCCCTTGGTGCCCGTAAGGATCCCTGCTTTTTAAAAATTGTTCGAAATGAGATGAGATCGTGGCATTTTGTAAGGCCCCCGTCCTCAGCAGGGTCAAATTTATTTCTAGGGCTGGTAGTAGCCTCTCTGGCCTGCAATGCTAGCCTGTTATCCTCCCTTACCAGAATGAAGACACTGGAGGGGATAGCCGTTAATCAGCCTTGAGAAAATGCACCCTCCCCCTTTAACAATTAGCAGAATGTCAGGCAGGGCTTGGTGGTTGCAGGCAGTCACCAAGATAGAAGAAAAGCATGTTTAGACCTAAGAATCATCCTTTTTCCAATGAGCCCATAATCCCTTGTGGGGCAGAGTCTGAACAACTGAATGGAGCTAGCAAAACATTTGCTGGCCAGATGCCCTTCCTGTCGCCAATGCTGAGTTTTGTTCAGCAGATATATTCTCAGTATGCCCAGAGAGAAATATCTGCCTCTACCTAGGACTGAACTCACAGCCTCCCAATTGTGAGGTGACAGCTCTGCCTCTAAGCCACCGCACCACTCTTTAGACCTAAGAATGTTTTTCTCAAAAATTAATCTGACTGAAGCAGCCCTTTTCATGATTTCATCTAGCATTCAATGATTTGCCTCAACTCTAGAAACCCAGAGGATGGCATCAAACGTACACTTCAGATCTAACCACAATTATTTAGGCTGAACCAAAAGGAAATTAGGCTCATAAATTTATTTAGGCCAAAAAACTAGCTTAAAATTTAGATGCCGAACTATGAGCTTCAGTTACTACCCGTGTGGAGAAATCTTTTAGAAGGGAAGTATTTTATTTTTTTTTGAAAATTCCAAATCTTGCTCCAAATAATTATCCTTTGAAAGAGCCGCTTGATTGGGTATTTGAAATACAACTTTATTATGATCTAAACAAAAAGGAATGGGAATGACAGTAACAAACAAGATTTACCACTGAATACTGTGATGAGACTGCAGCAGTCAGATTTGTAACTCAAATGTGGAGTAAATTTGCAGTCCAAAACAGCTAAATATGCAGGTCCAAAAAATGAAGGAATTTTATTTTAACTGCCACATTCACACGCCAAACCCCATTCTCTCTTTCAGCATCCCAAAGATTAAAGCACATGTTCTGGTCAGCTAGAATAATAAAGTGGCAAACACGCTGCACCACTGACATCACAGGACAGTTGCCTATAAAACTAGACTTCTGACGCTGGGCTCCAGCTTCGTCTCCCTCACAGGTCATCATCTTCGTCTGGCAGTGCAGTGGTCTGAGCAATCTGGAAGACGGGAAAAGGAAGGGTGGGTCAAGAGCTCTGAAAAAATGTCCAGGCCACAGGATGGTGGCCAAGACCTTTTTAAAAAAAGGGTTACCTGTAAATCTTGCTCGTACTGTGCTGCCAATGCTGGATCCATAACAACTTCCGGGGGCGCAAGAGCAGGCATGGCAACGAACTCCAGGTTGGGATCTCCAATGAGCTTTCTCGCCAGCCAAAGGAAGGGCTTCTCAAAGTTGTAGTTACTCTTGGCTGAAATGTCATAGTACTAAATGCAAAAGGTTACAGAGAGAGAACTTGAGTTAGCAGAGATTGAGGTATCTGTTATCCTCTGCAGGTGACTTTTTTGCTCGTTTGACTTATTTTAAATCTTTCTATCACCCTAAGATAGGTGCCTATTTTTATTCGAATTGAGAGTTCAGAGCAAGCAGATTCAAAGAGAAAAATCACTTCGCCAACGAAATGAAACATGGATAGAAGAGAATATTTTTAGCTCAGGATTGAACTGTGGGGTCTCTGATGTTCTCTGAACTGGTTTTCTTGCAAACCTTTCATTATCGAAGTAGGTAACACTACGTAACACAATGGCTAGGCTAAAGCACTGATGTTACCTAGCTGTGTAATGAAACATCTGCATAAATCAAGTATGGTTATTATTATTTTGCTTCAATCACATTACATAATCTATAAAAAGAAAAGAGGGCTCCTCCCCCCCCACCACCACAAGAAGCACTTAACAAATGTTTGTTGAATTAAAACCCAGAACCATAGAGAATTAAAGCCGCAAAACAGGCACATTTGGCAAAGGGCGGGGGTCATTTGGTAAGCTTTCTTGCAGACCCTTACATCAACATTTGTGAGCTAGAAGAGATGCTTTGTTCTTACCTGCAGGTTCTTCTTCCTGTGAAAGACAATGGACTTTGCTTTGACTTTCCTGTCCTTGATATCCACTTTGTTGCCACACAAAACTATGGGGATATTCTCGCAAACTCGTACCAGATCTCTATGCCAGTTGGGTACATTCTTGTATGTAACCCTTGATGTTACATCGAACATTATGATGGCACATTGAGCTAGAAGGTAAAGCCACGGGCATTATTAGTCAAGGGGATAGAAGCAGCATAATTTACAGTTCTAATATTAAAGCAATTTTTTAACAAAAGCACTCCCAAACGTTTGCATTGTTCCTTCAACAGTATCCTAACCTTAACGCATATTCATTTTGATGTAGTTTCACGTTAAATTTCAAAATATGGGATGCTCACAGGTAATAAATCTTGAATTACTATCATCTTTTAACATAAATATAATGGAAACACAGTTCTAACATTTTGATAGAAAACAGAAATGGGAACACTTAAGTTATTGACATAGCATAGTTCTTTATCTCCTGTTCGCAAATATTTGTTCAGACAATCTATTTATTTACTAAATGCATATGACACCAGTCACTCTTGAACTGACCTTGAATGTAATAACCATCCCGCAGGCCTCCAAACTTTTCTTGACCAGCTGTGTCCCATACGTTAAATTTAATGGGACCTCTGTTAGTGTGGAACACCAGAGGATGGACTTCAACTCCCAGAGTAGCTACAACAAAATGAAATGTTAGTTGCTACACTGCATGCTTTCAAGGATTATTTCCAGGTTATTTATCCATCTTGGGCCTGTCTGCATCTTGTCTACAAATTGTTAATAAGCAACTTTTCTTTAAAAGGTATTTGCTTTTATTAAGATTTTTCGCCCAGCAGTTTGACCCTTTTCTCTCTTTTCACTCACCCCACCCCCTGATCCACCAAGAGATGAAAAGGCTAATTATGGCTCAAATGTCTTTCAGTTCAAGTTGTATGAGACCCTAGACCCTTCGAATATACAGACCATAAAACTGTATAGATATCTAGCATTTTACACTCAAGTTACAGTTTAGAGCTGGTCCTCTGAAAGGTAAGATAGCTATCAAAATCATTTTACTGTGTCTAGATGACTTAAAATGGTTTACATACCTACATACTTCTTCTCAAATTCACCAGTCAAGTGGCGTTTCACAAATGTCGTTTTACCAGTGCCACCATCACCAACCAAAACAAGCTGAAAATTTTTTTTAAAAAAAGATTTTTAAGAAAATTGTCTTATACTAATTTTTTTTCTACCAGTATCAATCTTACAAAACAGGAATATATACCAATTCAGTATGCTATAATTGTTACAGAATAGTATAAAGATCTGGGGAAAGTTAGATGTAAATTTTTGTAGGCATGAAATTGGCTAGGTTAGTAACTAAGATACTACAATTAACCAGATATATCTACAAACTATTTACATAAGCCATCTCATCCAAAACAGGCTTATTTCAAAATAAAGCATTGATAATAAAAAAACTAAAATATATTCAATATTTCATAACTATATACCTTGCAAGCTATTCAAGTTGTGGCAACAAATTAGCAGAAAAATGTTTCTTGAAATAAAACATAGCTAATTGATTTATGTTATGTATTTTCCCATCTTGATGTTTAAGAGGCAAATTCATGTATTAAATCTAAGGAAAACCTAAGCAAAAGAATGGTTTATAGATAGGGAGAGCTATTAATTTTGCTTTATTTAAAATTTTATTTCCTTTTCTTTAAAATTACTCAAAAAGACTAGAAAACTCACATCCAATTATTTCTATGTACTCAAAATAAATTATAAAATTTTACAATTAAAAGCACCCACCACTGTTTGGAATAGAATAGTGAATAACCACTATTTGGACAATAGTAATAAAATTATAGTACATATGTGTAATGTTTTCTATATTTAAAAATTCAATCCAACTTTTAAAAAAGTTGACTAATCTACCAAATGTACTACTTTCATTCTCCAAAAGGAATGCATCAAAACAAACTCCTTCAATATAGATAATCAAAGATAACATGATTCATTAAAAATTACAATGTTTGGATAGCAATCCGACTCCTTGAGTTGGGGCTAAACTGTGTTTAAAATCTACAAATACATAATAAACATTAAAATCTACAAATACATAATAAGAAAACAGCCATACAGTGTAGGCCACAAGCCTATTTGGGAATCAGATTGATATTTTACATATCTGTCTTCTAAGAAACCATATCAAATTTCTAACCACACACAGTTAGCCCTCAACAGATTTAAAATAAATTTATGTTCCATCGAGAACAGGCATTTCTTTGACCTGAAGGGGGAAAAAAAATAGCAAAAAAATCACAGTCAGCTCAAAAAGGAGATCGGCATAAGCCAGAAAAGAATTCCTGTGGATTTGCAAACCAACAAAGAAAGCCTGGAGGCCTGCCTTACTACGCAGGTTTCCTCCAGGACAAAATCATTAGAAAAACCCAGGTGAAAAGGAGGCCGCTCAGCCCTACCTTAAACTGCACTTGGGGTTCTCCTTGTGGGGCGGCCATGCTGCGTCTGTGGGAAAGAGCAACGCATGAGTGGCGAGGCAGCAATGCGGATGATAAGTCTGCCCCACGACGCTCCAAGGCGCGTGGGCTGGCTGGCTCAGCTCTCCATCCGGGTCGAGGAGGAGGAAGCAGTAAATGGCGGCAGGCAGCCAGAGAGGGCTGGCCTGGTTTTTGCGTCTCTCCCCCCCACACCTTCCAGCCCTTATAAAAACAACAAACACATACAGCTACATTCCACACAAAACTATACAACCAGGGGCTTGTCAGAGATGGTGAAAAACACTGAAAAGGGACTGGACTAAGAAGGCAGAGAATGGAAAAGGGGGGCAGGGGAGAAGAGGTCCCAGCTACAAACCAAATCACCTGTTTTCCTTTTATAGGAATATGTGCCCACCCCCCTCTTCCAGGCATCCCATGTCTGAGGGCAAAAGAGTGTGTCCTTAGAGAAGGGCCCCCTTTCCCTTTTTTGGCATCTCCCCCCAAAAGAGAAAGTCTCTAGCAAGCTAAGAGAAGAAGGGCTCCCTCCTACCTTTCTTGGCACCCCACCCAAGGCAAAAGTGTCGGGGGGTGGCGGGGGAGGCAGAAAAGAGTTTCCCTTTTCTTGGCATATCTCTTAAAAGAAAGTCTGGGGGAGTACGATTTTTACAAGCCCCCCCACCTTAATGTGATCTCCCCCTAAAGACAAAACTGGGGAGGGGGGCACAAAACCCCATAAAGGGCCACCTCTCTTTCTTGGCACCCCCCCACAATGCAAAAAATCTGGAGAGTAGAAGAGCCCCCCCCTTCCCCTTTCTTGGGATCTCCCCAAAGTAAAGTCTGGCAGATTAGAAGAGAGATTCCCCTTTAAATTGGGGGGTTGGGGGGGCGTCCCACCTTTCTAGGCATCTCCCCTATAGGGGAGGGAGGGAGAAGACAGTGTTCCCCTAAAGAAGAGAGCTCCCCCACCTTTCTTGGGACTCCCTAAATGAAAAACTCAGGACTGGGGGGGGGGAAACAGATTAAACCCCTCCCCCAGAAATAGGGCGCCCCCTCCCACCTTTATTGGCATCCCCCCCAAGAAAAAACTGTGGGAAGCAATAAACAAGCCCCCCCCCCGCCATCCAAAGAACACCGTCTTTCAACATATAAGAAAACAATCTGGAGGGGGGGTAGAAGAGAGAACCCCCCCAAAAAAAGAGCCCCTCCCCCACCTTTCTAGGCCTCTCCCCTTAAGGGGGGGAAAAACCCACATGGAGGCTGAAGAAAGAGACTCCCCCCTCTTCTCAGAAAGCCCCCCCTTTTTTCCCAGCATCCCCCCCTCCATCCATCCATCCCCCCTCCGTGACCTCTTTTTTCGACTCACCTCCGAAGAAAGGAGAGAGCTGCGTTTGGGCGCCCATTCCCCCCCCACCACCACCACAGCCTCCCTCCCCCCGCGCATGCGCGCACAGAGCCCTCCTCGCGCTCGCTCTCCCTCCCCCCCACCGCCGTCGCCAACGGCCTCCCGCCAACCGCCGCCTCTGCCCCCCCCACCGCTCCCCGCGCATGCGCCTCAGTCTCCTCTCTTTCCTCGCGGCGAGTGAGGGGGGGCGTCATCCGGAAGGCCTTTCCCGCCCTTTTTTTGGGGGGGGCCGTGTGGAGGTGGGGGTTGGGGTAGAAAAGAAATGAGAGAGGCGGCCTGGCCGTTCCCGCGAGGTGGGCGAGCCCGGCCGCGGCCTTTTTTTTTTTTTTTTTCCTTCTCCCTTCCCTTCCCTTCCCTCGCTTTCGCCGGGCGGGTTTACCTTTCTCGGGGCGTCTCGTTCGCTGCTTGGCCTTCCTTCCTTCTCCGCTCGCGGCTGCCGCTGTTACTGAGGGGGAAAAGCGGGCGGGCTGTGTGAGGGAAGATGGCGGAAGCGCGCTCGTTCAAAATCGCCCCTGAAAGAAGCAGCAGCCGCAGCAGCAGCAGCCGAGGGCGGGGAGCGCGCACGCTGGTGACGCAGCGGCGCGGGGGAATAGCCAATCAGCGCGGCGGGCGTGCTTGCGTAGCGCTGGAGGGGAGGGGCTTGGCGTCACGCGACTGCGCCTGCGCGGCATGCATCCCTTAGAAACTGGCCTCTTCGCCCCGCAAGGCTCGCTCTTTCTCTTTCTCCTCTGCCCTCGCTTGCGCGCAGACCCCGCCCCGCCTTTCTCGACTGCGCGCGGCTTCTTCGGTAGCCCCGCCCCTCCTCCCCTCCCCATCCGCGTTGAGGTGCGCGCCTGCGCGATGGGCGCGCGGGCGATCTGGCGCGAAAAGGGAGCGCTCTTCTCTCCCCCCCTCCCTCTTCCTTGCCTTGCGCGCGCTGCTATTTTAGATGTCAATTGCTTTGCAAAAAAAGAAGGAAAATAATAATAATAATAATTTATTTTTTTTTAAAAAGCAAGCAATGCAATGCAAAGGGCGATGGAAAAGAGCCATGGGCACCAGTATGATGCTTCTTTCTTGCCATTCTGGGTTGCAAAAAATTAGGCTCAGCTTCGCTGGCCAAAAGGTGGGGGAAGATGGGCTATGTAGTTTAAGCATTGAAAAGTTGGGGAACAGGCCCTGCCAGATGGGCTCGGGGGCAGGTACTTTTTCCCCATTCATGGGGTGATTGTGAGTCGATCCCAGGTGGGTGGCCGGCCAAAGACAAAACTTTTTGATATGTTGCACACCGAAGATCATAATTTATTCTCATCGATTTGAATGTTTCTGGTCAGGAAGGAAGTTTGCATTATATTTCATTCCATCATCTCTCTACATTGTCCTGAAAGACTTCATATCATTCATTTTCCTCTTCTAACTTGGTAGAGCGCAGTACTGCAGGCTACTTTCTGCTGACTGATGGCTGCCTGCAATTTGGCAGCTCAAATCTCACCAGGCTCAAGGTTGACTCAGCCTTCCATCCTTCTGAGGTCAATAAAATGAGGACCAAGATTGCTGGGGGCCATAGGCTGACTCTGTAAACCGCTTAGAGAGGGCTGTAAAGCACCATGAAGTGGTATATAAGTCTAAGTGCTATTGCTATTATACTTCCTCCCTCCCTCCCTTCCATGGTGCGCAATGGTTAGGATACAGTATTGCAGGCAAATTCTGCCCACTGCCAGCAGTTTGATTTTGAACTGGCTCAAGGTTGACTCAGACTTCCATCCTTCGTAGATGCATAAAATGAGGACCCAGATTGCTGTGGGCAAGATAGTTGACTATTTATAGAGGGCTGTAAAGCACTGTAAAGCAGTATATAAGTCTAAGTGTTATTGCTAGTGCTATTTTCCTTCCTTCCTTCCTTCCTTCCTTCCTTCCTTCCTTCCTTCCTTCACCTCTTCCTTTTCTCCTTCCTTCCTTCCTTCCTTCCTTCCTTCCTTCCATCAAGCCCCTAAATAACATGTCCCAACAAATAAAATCCAAGGCATCCTTCTTTATTTTCAAATCTATTTATTAGGAACACAATAAATTGGCAAGGAGTTGATGTAATTCTGAACCAGATCCAGAATTACACTCAATAAAAGCAAGTTTGAAACTTCCCCCCGCCCACCCGAGTCACAATCTCCAATCAACTCTCAGTCCAACAGGCTGGTGACTCCAAGCTCCACCTTCGGCCAGCTGCAGGCATCGTCTCTCTTCCCATGGGAAAGGAATGCCACCTAGACATAACATTCGCCCTTTTTTCTTTACACCCCCCTGTCAACAGTTAGAAAGTGGCGAACCTGAAATATTTGCTGAATTCAGTTACTAACATTCAGTTATTAACATCTGCTTGCAATTACTGCAAGTTTAAATCCCACCAGGCTCAAGGTTGACTCAGCCCTCATCCTTCTGAGATTGGTAAAATGAGGACCCAGATTGTTGGGGGCAAGAGGCTGACTGTAAACCGCTTAGAGAGGGCGGTAAAGCACTGAAAAGCGGTATATAAGTCTATACTTGTCCTCTTAGGATCATCCATTAAAACTGAAATATTTTCTGTGGCAAGGCACCAATCCTGTTACAGGTAGTCCTCGTCTTACAACAGTTCAGTTAGTGACCAGAGGTTCACTATGGTATGGTATTTTCTGCAATAAATAAGAGCCTTGATAGCACAGTGGACTAATGCACTGTTATTAACATCTGCTGCTTGCAATTACAAGCAAGTTCAAATCCCACCAGGCTCAAGGTTGACTCAGCCTTCCATCCTTTCAAAGGTAGGTAAAAGGAGGACCCAGACTGTGGGGGCAATAAGCTGACTTTGTATAAATATATACAAAAGGATGAAGGCTATTGCTTAGCACATTGTAAGCCGCCCTGAGTCTCCAGAAAAGGGCGGCATATAAATTAAAAGCAAAAAAAAAAAGGATTCAGTTTCAAAAAGAGCAACTTTCACATGTAGACTTTTTTTTCCTCACTGCTGATTTCTCCTGATTTCTTTACTAGAAATGAGAAAAGAAACATGGACTGAAAGCAGGAATCATCCGTTTGGGTTTTGCTAAATGAATAAGCCAACCCCGATCTATGTCGAAGACAGAGATAGAAAAGGAAGTTTTTAAAAAATGCAAAGGGTGGAGTAGTGCTGATCCTAGGTCATAGCATGAATATTTTTATTTATTCATTTTGTAACGTCACCTATCTATGATAACAGCCACTCTGCATGTCTTGCAGCATGATTAAAAAAATAAAAAAAAAGTCCTACAATATGATCAAAATTAGAGGAATGAAATAGAAAAGCTAAAAAAACTAAAATACAATGGGCATTCAATGTTTTTTTAAATTTAAAGTGTTCATTAAAAAAAAAGCAACTCTAATATTCTAATAAGGGTTTTAATATGGTCCCTAGCCATTCCCTCTTGGTCTGGACTAGACAACAAATTTGCATAGCTCCGCCTTTCTAGTGTAGGCGGCCACGCCCCATCCTTGGTCCCTGCATTTCACAATGCATTTTATATGAGCAACTTCGCCTTTGGATAGAACGCGTATTTGCATAGCTCCGCCCTTTCTACAACGCCACAGCCCCTCCCTTGATCCCTGTTGTCATATTCCACATAGGATCTTCTTCCTACGAGCTCCCTCGCCCCTCCTTCTTCACTTGGACCAGATGCTACATTTGCATAGCTCCGCCCTTCTCTTATAAGCGGCCGCACCCTCTCTCTTTGGTCCCCAACCAAAGAATCTTAATACGAGGCTCTGTCGGCCCGCCCCTTTTGCTCTACATTTGCATGGCCCCGCCCTTCCTTTGTAAGCGGCCACACCCCTCCCACGGTCCCTCTGCCCGCTTGGGTTCTTCGGCTTTATAACGGGAGGCGACACGCCTGCGCCTGCGCACTGGGCGGCGGCCGGGTAGTGGTTGCCCTGGCATCAGCGAACGGGGAGGCGGCGGCCGCGCTGTGCCGCCGCTGGAGCCTCCCGGAGCCGGGAGCCGCCTAAGGTGGGCAAGGAGCAGCAGAAACGCCCGGGGAGAAGCGGCTGAAGGAACCCCGCCAGGATGAGGGACCGTCTGGCCGAGCTGGCATCGGTGAGAGGCTGAGGAGAAGGAGGCGGCGGAGGGAGGGTGACCCGTAGGCAGGAACAGCCCCCCCCCCACACACACACACACCGGAGGGGGGGAGGCCAATTAAAGGATGCGCGGCAACAGCATCCTTGCCTCCTGCTGCAACCTGGCGCCCTTTGCAAAGGATAGAGGATGGAGAAGACAAGGACGATGGGGATGCCAGCCTTTAGAAAAAAAGCCCGCTTTCTACAATCCCGTCGCCTTTTATTTTATTTATAAATTAAATTTATATGCCGCCCATCATCCTGGTCCCTGGGTGGCTTTAGGTTTATTATTTATTTGTTTATTGAATTTCTATACCGCCCTTCTCCCGAAGGACTCAGGGCGATGAACAGATTAAGATTTCATATAAATATAATATATATATAATAGGCAGAAATAGTACTATCCCAGTCTCCCTTAAGTCTCACAGCAGACAACACAAAATGTCTGATAAAGCCTGAAAGTGGTGATTTGAGATATCACCCAACTATGGCTATACAAATATCTTGAACTACGTAGGAGAAAACCCTGACTAGAAAAGTATTTTATATATATAATAAACAGTAAATAGTAAATTGAGTCAACTTGGTGTATCTGCTGAGACCTTGGCATAGAATTTAGATGTTTATGCTAGCCCTGCTTGTTGAAACAGAAAGGTCTTCAGGGCACGTCGGAAAGTGCGAAGATCTGGGATTATTCGTATTCCAGGGGGTATTTATTTATTCCAGGTTAATCTAACCCAGGTGTGGGTTTTTTTTGTGCCAGTGAAGCTTTCTGAATTTTTTTTATTTTTTATTTTATTTATCTCCCAAAGGCGTTGGTTCACCCGGCGGGCAGCCAGTTCAGAACAGCCTCCCGTTTAAAACCGAACGAAATCAAATAATAATAAAAATTTTTAAAAAACAGCTGGACAAAGCAAACATCCCCGTTTCAAGGTTGAGGAATTTTGCAAAGAGATGCCTTTCCTACCGGCCAGGTTGAGTTCGGCAATCGCCTTCTCCCTCTTGTTAACCCTTTTCCCTAAAAAAAAAAAAAAGCCTAATTTTTTTATTTTTGCATGAAGCGTTTTGCTTGTTGGGTTTTTTTGAAGCGTTGTTTTCTGCCCACAATGAAAGACATTTAGTTTGCTTTGCTCCGTTTTAAAATAAAGCAAAGTTGCCTAATAAAATGCAGGCGTTTTGTGTGTCCACGCTACCAGGCAGTCTTTATCCTTTCAGCAAAAAAAAAAAAAAAAAAGTTTGCGTAAAATGAACCGGGTGTTTTGAAAACATTGCATTTTGTTTTGCTACTCGCTGGGAAGGTAACAAAGAATCAGGATGAACAAACAATTTAGAACGAAAACACCGAAGCCTTTTCCCTCCTTTGTTAGCTGTGTTAGGCTGATGGAAATTAGCAGTTTTAAAACCTTGGGTGTGATAGAGTTTGGGCACCCATATGTGTGTGTGTTATTTTAAAGAAAGCATCTTGCATCAATGGTGTGCAGTTATTGATCTGTGCCTGTATTTAATATGTCCACATTGCGAATTAATATTTTAATTGCAATTTCAATCTCCTTACCTGCTTTTGAGTTCTCTTGAAGAGGAGGAGAGATTGTGCCTTTAAAAGAATATTTATTTGAAGCTGTACCTGCCCTACAGAGGCATGTATATACAGGTAGTCCTCGACTTATGACCGCAATTGAGCCCAAGATTTCTGTTGCTAAGCGAGACATTGCTAGGTGACTTTTGCCCCATTTTATGACCTTTCTTGCCACAGTTATTAAGTGAATCGCTGCAGTTGTTACATCCGTGGGGATGTAAGTGTGAAAAACAGTCACAAGTCACTTTTTTTAAAAAAATATTTTTATTATAGTTCAAAAAAACAAAAAAAAGACAAATGTATAATAGTTTTTCTATCACGGTGTAACATCACCAAAATATCCATGTATATATACACCAATAATCAGAAAGTAAAAATAGAAAATATTTACAGATTCTTATATACAGATTCTTATATATATATTCACCGCCCTGAGTCCTTCGGGAGTAGGGCGGTATACAAATCAAATAAATAAATAAATAAATAATAATAATAATAATAATAATAATAATACAAATTTACATTTCCAATACTTATGATCTTTCTTGCCACAGTTGTTAAGTGAATCGCTGCGGTTGTTACGTCCATGGGGATGTAAGTGTGAAAAACGGTCACAAGTCAATTTTTTCAGTGCCCTCGTAACTTTGAACGGTCACTAAACGGACTGTTGTAAGCCGAGCACTATCTGTAGTGTGCATTTGTGCATACATCTGAATGTGCCTGCATCTATGCGTGATACAGCTACGTTTCTGCGTAAGGGTTTTTTTAAGGATTTGCAGGAATTCCCCATGATCCATAACCAGTGGTGGGCTGCTGGGGGTTCGCAGGGGTTCGGGAGAACCTGTAGCTGAAATTCTGTGCAGTTTGGAGAACCCCCAAATCCCACTTCTGGCTGGCCCCGCCCACCCCACCCCTCCCAGGAGTCCCCATGTGGCCCGTGTTAGATGCAGGTAAGTGCAAGGTGCACACGGAGGCTCGGGAGGGCGAAAAACGAGCTTATCGGAAGTTCGGGAAGTCTGGAAACGGGCCCGTTTCTGGCCTCCAGAGGGCCTCGGGAGCCTGGGGAGGCCATTTTCGCCCTCCTGGAGGCTCAAGGAAAGCCTCCGGAGCCTGGGGAGGGCAAACCACCCCCCACTGTGGTGCAGGAGGCCAACTAGGCCACACCCACCATGGCCACGCCCACCCAGCAACCAGGCAGAGAACCCCTTGCTAAAATTTTTGAAGCCCACCCCTGCCCATAACTCCCTTTGGTCTGCCAGTAGGTGCCCTTTTGAAATAAATTTCTGGCTGGGAAAAGTTTAACCCGATCCCAGTTTTTCATCTTAATTTGTTTTTCCTAGAAAGGAAAGGGAAGCTCAGCTCTGCCTCTCCAAAGCTATTGAGCAATAATGCATTTCAAAGAATCCTGAGCTGGGCAGGCATATAAATTAAATAATAAAGTTTTTTCCCTGGCCTTGTTTTTCCCAAGCAGCAATGAGAGAATAATGACTCTCTCCAAAACACTTGCAATTAGGAAATTGTTTCTCAGTTTAAAAAAAAAAACAGCAGTAGAAAAGATTCTCGTATCAAAATTTTATCCCAGCACAAAATACAAAAATATGAAGAAAAAAATAAATAAAAATAAAGGTAAAATAGGGGAGGAAATGGGAGAAATATATAGGGTGGAGGGGAAAATAGAAAAAAAAAAGGCATTGATTTTGGCATAGTAACATAAGGCAAATAACATGAAACCTCAATTTTTTAACTTTTATGTAAGCAAAAGAATTCTCCTCTGCAGAAATGCGGGCTTGTCAAGAAAGATAGCCAGAAATTGTAATTTTATAATTATTAGTTTAACTTTCTACGTGCGACAGTCGGCTTGTGGTTCTGTTGGAATGTTTACATTGCTTCCATTTTGTGCTGTCCAAGGTAATTTGCAAGAACAATACCATCAGTATTCCTCTGACTTTATTTTATTTATTTTTTGTTCTTTTGTATCGTCACAATTGGATATTTGAGTGTGTCTGTGCGCTTGTGATATGTTTTTCCTTCCTCTCATTCTTATCTCTTCCTGAGGCAACAAAGAAGCTTTGAAAGGAAAAGGAAGGTATTAGCACCAAAGAGCCTTTTGCTTAAACTCAATAGCTTCCAACGCAAGAAAAATGGGTTATTATATTTGATCCCACAGTGTTTCCACAATGAACACTCCTTGAGCTGCATTCAACGTTCAAAATTTCACCGCGAGCTGGTCCCACTTAGAAGAACATATGTAAGAAAAAACAAGAAAACACTTTCTGTGTTTTTCCTTGAAGACGTTTCGCTTCTCCTCCAAGAAGCTTCTCCAGTTCTGACTGAAAGTGAAGAAGAACTGAAGAAGCTTCTCGGATGAGAAGCGAAACATCTTCAAGGAAAAACGAAGTCCAGTTGTCTTTGGGACAACCATGACCTGGATGACTGAGAATCTCCATAGATAAATCCCAGAATTCATTTTCTCGGGTCATTGAGAAAAATGGGAGGACTTTGGGTTTAGATCAGCTTTTTCTTCCTCTTCTTCTTCTTTTTTTAATTTAATTTAATTTTATTGAAAAGACAGTGCCATGTCAGGATAACAATGCAAATAAAACAAAGCCAGAGAGAGATCATGGTAAATCTTAACATACATGCTAATAACTATAACTGTACTATGTTAACAGTAAACAGATGCTTATAAAAGAAAACGTCAACTAAGTTTCTACTTACATTAGCTTATTTACAAATTTTTCTGTATTATATCCATAGTTTTATATATCTTTGTTGCGCTGACAATTCATAAACTTCCCTCTCATTTCTACCTCTTGTCTCTATCCATTCATAAAATTTATTCCATGTCCTGTAATATTTCGAGTCTTCTTTATCTTTCATTTTTTAAAGTTAATCTGTCCATTTCAGCACAATCCCAAATTTTGTCATCATCTGGTGAGGTGTTCGCATTTTTCCAATATTTCGCATACGTAATTCTAGCTGCCGTCAATATATGTAACGCTAAGTAAATGGTTGATTTGTCATAACTTTCCGACAATATACCTAAGAGGCACATTTCTGGTTTGAACTCAATATGTTGCTCTGTTATCATTTCTAGCCATTTATGAATTTTCTCCCAGTAAATCCGCTTTTTCTTCTACCCTGTTTCCCCCAAAATAAGACATCCCCTGATAATAAGCCCAATTGGGCTTTTGAGCGCAAGGCAGTAAGGCCAAGCGCTTATTTCAGGGTTCAAAAAAAAAGATAAAACGGGGTCTTATTTTCGGGGAAACATGGCAATTGACGTTCTCCTACAGAAAACGTGGACCAGCTCAAAAGTGAAATTCGGAACAAGTTGTGTAATTGCGAAAGCATCCCACCGATTTTAGCGAGTTTTGTCTCCCAGCTGGCATGCGTCAGGTTGAACTTTTAGCGAAATGCCAAGGAAAGGTTTCTTTAATTGGTGGGGGAAAAAAAAGCTTAATTTATTCTCCGAGGATCACATAGGAAAGTTTTTGGTGCACAAATATTTCCGTTGTGTGTCTGGTTCCCGCTTGAAAAGCTGCTCCTTTGTCTTATGAATGAGTCATAAAGAACGAGAAGACGCAGAGGAGAGCGAATTCATGAATGGCATTCTTGTCACCAATCTTTTAACGGCAGGAAAAGGCATCAATTATAATTTTATTAGGGAAACAAGCAGTCAGTGCAAGGGAGAAAAAGTTGGGCTGAGCTGAGCTGAGCTTCCGATCTTTACTAGACTAGCTTGTGTTAAAAGCCATAACCATGAATCATTAAATCATAAAGAGCCTTGGTAGTACAGTGGTCTAAAGCACCCTGTTATTAAGACCAGCTGCCTGCAATTACTGCAGGTTCGAATCTCGCCAGGCTCAAGGTTGACTCAGCCTCCATCCTTTCTAAGGTAGGTAAATTGAGGACCCAGTTTGTGGGGGCAATAAGCTGACTTTGTATAAATATACAAAAGTATGAAGGCTATTGCTGAGCGCATTGTAAGCCGCCCTAAGTCTCCAGAGAAGGGCGGCATATAAATCAAATTAAAAAAAAAAAAATAGAGGTGAAAGGGACCTTGAAGGTCTTCTAGTCCAACCCCCTGCTCAAGCAGGAGACCCTTTCAAATAGATGGCAGTCCAGTCTCTTCTTAAAAACCTCCAGTGATGAAGCACCCACAACTTCTGGTGGCAAGCTGTTCCACCGGTTAATTGTCCCCACTGTCAGGAAGTTTCTCCTTAATGCCAGGTTTCTTCTCTCCTTGATTAGTTTCCATCCATTATTTCTTGTCTTACTTTCTGCTTTGGAGAATAGGCTGACCCCCTCTTCTTTGTGGCAGCCCCTCAAATACTGGAATACTGCCATCATGTCACCCCCTAGTCCTCCTTTTCTCTAGACTAGCCAGACCCAATTCCTGCAACTGTTCTTCCTATGTTTTCGTCTCCAGGCCTTTCATCATCTTAGTTGCTCTTCTCTGCACTTTTTCCAAAGTCTCAGCATCTTTTTTGTCATGTGGTGAGACCAAAGCTGGATGCAGCTTTGCAGGTGTGGCCTTCCCGATCGGCTTTTTAAAACGGTACTAATACGTCACCTGATTTTGGTTCTTTGCCTCTGTTTTTACAGCCAAGGATTGTATTCGCTTTTTTGGCGGCGCCTGCCGCACACGGCTGGTTCGTGTTTAAGGGATCGTCCGCTAGGACTCCAAGGTCCCTCTCACAGTTACTGTTTTTGAGCTCATGTTCGCCTAATCTGCATTTTGTAACTTTGGAAAAGGGTTACTCACACGGTGAAATATTTCTGCTTCTTTTAGCGCACTCAAAACGAAGATGGAGAAGCGACGGTTGTCGTCGAGAGTGACCATTACATGGAAGACTTTTTCCTACAGGTAAAAAAAAAAATCTACGCGGGAAACAACTTTCTTAATGCAGGGAGTCCTCGACTTATGGCCACAATTAAACCCCACCTTTTTGTTGCTAAGCGAGGCAGTTGTCGGGTGAGTTTTGCCCCGTTTTACAACCTTTCTCGCCCCAGGTTGTTATGTGAACCGCCACAGATGTTAAGTGAGTGACATGGTCACTTTGGCTTCCCCGTGGACTTTGCTTATCAGGAGGTCACAAAAGGGGATCAAGCGACTCCAGAACACTGCAACCGTCATAAATATGAACCAGTTGCAGAAGCGTCCGAATTCAGCGCCGTTGTAACTTCGAACGGTCACTAAAGGGGAGTCACGGACCACTGTAATTTAACGTCTACTCTTTTTTTGTGATCTAGTTGGCCTCCAAGACGTTGGGTTGTTTTGGAGTGTGTAACTTTTCTCAAGAAAATAGGAAAAATACAGGTAGTCCCCAACTTAACGACCACGTTTGAGCCCGGAGTTTATGTCGCTAAGCGAGACATTTGTTAAGTGACTTTTTCCCCGTTCTACGACTTTTCTTGCCACTTTGGTTAAGCGAGTCACTGCAGTTCTTCAATGAGTGACACGGTTCCTAAGTGAATCTGGTTCTCTCCCCGCCCCCCCGTGACTTTGCTTGTCAGAAGGTTGCAAAAGGGGGGATCACGTGACTCTAGGACGCTGTGACCGTCATAAATGTGAGTCAGTGGTCAAGCGTCCAAATGCAAGTCACCTGACCGTAGGGATGCTGATGTCAGGGCTCCAAGTAACACCCCCAACGAAAGAAGACTCCGAGGCTTGAAGTTCCTCAGAGTTCCATTTTATTAGAGATGTCATATTGGCACATCTGGGAAAACCTGAATCTGAAAGCTTCCAGGTTTTCCCCACCCAAAGGAAAGTCCAAGTCATTTTCCCTGCACCCACATGTCAATCACATGATCCAATCCAAGCAACGTCCCAACTGGAGATGCCTCCCAGTTCCAGCCCTCCAGGTGCTGGAGAAATAACACTGTAGATTCTCAAGCTCCAGAAGCTACATCCAGATGTGTTCGGCAGGATTCCCCTGAGTTTTGTAATCCCTCGTGGGTGCCAGACAAGGGTCACACGTGGCTTCCCACGCTTTAGGGACTGTCCCCAATGTCTCTGGAGATTCTCAGTCATCCAGGTCACGGCTGTCCCAAAGGTGCCTTTTTCAAGAGGCAACTGGGCTTCTTTTGTTTTTCTTTTGAAGACGTTTCGCTTCTCATCCAAGAAGCTTCTTCAGCTCATTCAGCCTCTTCAGCTGAAGAAGCTTGTTAGATGAGAAGTGAAAGGTCTTCAAAGAAAAGCAAGAGTCCAGTTGCCTCTTGAAAAAGCACTTTGGGGGAAGAAGGGAAGGGAAGGAACGTTAAGGAAGGGAAGGGTAGGAAAGGAAAGAAGGGAAGAGAAGGGAAGGGAAAGGAAGGAATTTTGATCCTATTTGATATTTTGATCAGGTGACCCTGGGGATGTTGCAAGGGTTTTGTAAGTATGAAAAAACATTCCTGGATCACTTTTTTTTTTCAAGGCTGTTTATAGGGTCACTAAATGAACTAAATGAACTGTTCCAAGTCAAGGACTGCCTGCGTTTATGATTGATTGATTGATTGATGAGTCTGCCTGGATGCCACTTACCATCTACAATAGAGCACTAACAATCTGTAAATTTAAACCTGCTTCTTCTTGATGTCTTTTTTTCTCCTTTTCAAAGGTTGAGGAAGTTAGGAAATATATCTCTAAAATCTCAGATGTTGTAGAAGAAGTGAGGAAGAAGCACAGCGTCATCCTCTCGGCCACACATCCAAAAGATAGTAAGTTTTCCCAACTCTGTGCAACTGCCAAATAATAATAATAATAATAACTGCAAGGAATGGTGTGAAAAGCAGCAAAATCACAATTGAGCAGATCACGATGCAATGGGCAGCAAAGGCAACGGATGAAATTTGTGTTGTGTTGGCATAAAGTCACCATCAAGGTCGTGAAATGACCAGTGGATAACATACGGTGCATTGAATAGATAATTGGGAGTAAACAACTCCAACCCTCTTAATTGGGCTATTAAATTGAGACTTTGCTATATTTTTTGGGGTGGGTGAGAGGGTGTCTCTGATGAGTATATGGCCAAAGATTCAATCCTCCAAAAAATCAAAGTTGTGAGCTATTTCTACACTATTCCACTCAAACACTTGAATAGAATAGAATAGAATAGAATAGAATAGAATAGAATAGAATAGAATAGAATAGAATAGAATAGAATAGAGAGAGGGGAGGGGAGAGGAGAGAGAATGGAATAGAGTAAAGTAGAGTGGAATAGAATTCAGAACAGAATAGAATAGAATAGAATAGAATAGAATAGAATAGAATAGAATAGAATAGAATAGAATAGAATAGAGGAGGAAGAGGAGGAAGAAGGAAGAAGAAAAGAGAATAGAGGAGGAGGAGAGAAGAAGGAGAAGAAGAGAATGGAGGAGGAGGAAGAAGGAAGAATAGAATAGAGGAGGAGAGAAGAATAGAATAGAAGGAGAAGAATAGAACAGAACAGAACAGAATAGAATAGAATAGAATTCTTTATTGGCCAAGTGTGATTGGACGCACAAGGAATTTGTCTTTGGTGCATACGCTCTCAGTGTACATAAAGAAAAAATAAAATATATTCGTCAAGAATCATAAGATAGTCATAGTCATAGGATACCAATAAACAATCAGATCATACCAGGAGACAATAAAAATAATATAAATTGAAAAGATACAAGCAACATGGATATAGCCATAAGTGGGAAGAGATAGGTACTAGTAAGGATGAGAAGAATAGCCATACAGTCTTAGTAGTTAATTTGACAGTGTTGAGGGAATTATTTGTTTAGCAGAGTGAGGGATGGAATGCAAGAAGTGTGTTCCATTAAAATCGCTAAGCCTTACTTACTTCCAAGAAAATAATAATTCTTCGCTTTGGGAAGAATTAAAACACGGTATATACCAAGACTGCTAACCCCACTAACTTCAGCCTTTTAAAAAAATCCACTTGTTTTCTCTAGCACTTATAATTGTGGGCTAATTTTAGAGCTCTCTGCTCTTGGATTCATGTATAAAATGAGCTAAATACAGGATACAGAGATCTCCAGAGCCATGCCAGCCGTGCTTGGTACGGCTGTTCGACTAAGGGTTATGAAGGGACAAGCATAGTTTTTTTTTAAAAAAAGAAAAAACCCAGCTTCAACGTTAAAATGGATGTTTGTGGTTCTTTTAAGTGTAATAGCACTGCTGTTGTTCTGTATAATGAATTGAAATTATAATTACCGCATATAAAGCATCATACATTTTGAAGGACTGTATAGAGCAGTGACGGCTAACCTTTTTGCCGTCGCGTACCAAAAGCGGGAAGAGCACGGGGGGGGGTCATGCATGCCCACACCCATAATTCAATGTGCCCCACCTCCCCCACGCATGCGCATGCAACACCACCACCACCAGCGCTCCCTCCGCTTTTGGCATGCGAGGGCATGTTGGGCCTGTTAGGCCCATTTTTCGCCCTCTCCAGACTCCAGAGGCTTTCTTGGAGCCGGGGGAGGTCGAAAACGGCCTTCTCCATCCCCCGGAGGCCCTCTGGAGGCCAGAAATGGCCCGTTTCCCGACTTCCAGTGGGCCCGGAAGGCCTGAAAATCAGCTGGTCGGCGCCTGCATGCGCGCTGGAGCTGAGCTAGGGCAACGCTCGCATGCCCACAGATATTGCTCCGTGTGTCACCTGTGGCACGCATGCCATAGGTTCGCCATCCTGGGTATAGAGATTTCAAGTTCAAATACTTTCTCTTTATATATTCACCCTAAGAGCAGAGGGGAAAGTCAGCACTGGGAATCTGTGCCACTGAATTGATTAGTGGCTCAGCAGGGGGATCTACAATACTGGGAATATTTTATTTATCTATTTATTTGCATTCCTGCCTATTAGTTTTACAAATAAATCAAGGTGGTGGGCATATCCAACACATCCTCCTCCTCTTATTTGCCTCATCACAACAATCCTGTGAGGTGGGTTTAGCTGAGACAGAGGGACTGGGTCAAAGTCACCCAGGCAGCTTTCATGCCTAAGGCGGGACTAGAACTCACCGTCTCCTGGTGATTGGCCCAAAGCAACCCAGGCAGCTTTCATGCCTAAGGCGGGACTAGAACTCACAGTCTCCTGGTGATTAGCCAAAAGTCACCCAGGCAGCTTTCATGCCTAAAGCGGGATTGGAACTCACAGTCTCCTGGTTGATTGACCCAAAGTCACCCAGGCAGCTTTCATGCCTACGGCGGGACTAGAACTCACGATCTCCTGTTTTCTAGCCTGCCTCCTTAACCGCTAGACCAAACTGGCTCTCTAATAATCAGTCAAAGAGTAAAAAAAAAAAAAGATTGCAGTTCTGCTTCAAGATACGTAATACGCAGAGATATCCTTGCCTGTAAATTCTTGCTTTTGGTCAACTGATCAGTGACTGGAGTATAGAGGATGCTTCTTGTGAACTCCAGTCAAAGAGTGCTGGAAGATAAAACTGAATTTTTTTGGACAGGAAAAAGGAAACAGGTTTCCGTGAGTTGCAAGAGCTGGTGGGTGGAAATCCTTTCTCTGATTTGTTCGTATTGGTCTCGAGAGCTCCTGAAGGCTATTATGAAAACCCATGTAGGATTTCAAGCCATTGACAAGAGTTAATGTATTGATCAGGGTGCAACCTTGATAACCCTTTTTCAACTTCGGAGTCTTTGTCCTTCGATAGCAGAAGGACAAAGAGATCAGAACTGAATGTGAGACATGGGACAAAATTTGGGGCAGGGTCATCATTTGCTCTTCACCCATGGAAGACAGTCTGGTGTGAGTTTGGGTGACACGTATAGGGGAAGGACAGACAGCCTGGTGGAGGAGTCAAGAGAGTCATCAGCCTAGAGTTGTTACTGTCAGCGTCTCAGCGCTGACATAGAAAAGGGAGATAAAGCCTGAACTTTTGCCTGCTAAATCCCTTTGAAGCTCGGTATCCTTGGAAATGAAGAGGGGGGAAACATTCCTGTGAACTGACGAGGAAAGGAGTCAGGAGAGTGACTTGAAAGATAGCCAATGAGAAGCAGAGAATTGGGGATCGGAAAGGGGGGGATTGGGGGGCAAAGATCAGTCCTGACCGCACAAGCCATGATCTGGTTGCTGTACTCGAATAAAGAGAAAATTTCCTTAAAGATTGGCAGTTTGGAAATTCATTTATTTTGAGGTAGCATCGAAGTCTGACAGTTACATTCCCACAAAGGTCCATCTCTTCTTGAATTCCACTGATGTATCTAGCACCAATTTCATGCTGACCTGATTCTCGTGTGGACTCTTGACTCCTGATGTTGTCCATCCTAGTTCAGAGATTCCCTAATTCCAGGATCCTGTATGGGAACATCATTGAATGGTGTGGTTGGCCTAGAGGTGGAGCTCTCGCTGTGGAGAGGCTGTGAGTTCGATCCTAGGTAGAGGCAGGTATTTCTTTCTCTGGGCACAATGAGAATATATCTGCTGAACAAAAACTCTGCATTGGCGACAGGAAAGGCATCCGGCCATTAAAACACTCTGCTAGCTCCATTCAGTTGCCCAGACTCCGCCCTGCAAGGGATTATGGGGTCGTTAAAAGAAGGTGATGATGATGAGAACATCATTGTGTGTTCAGTAGGAGGAGGACAATGTTTGTTTGTATCATACTGAGCTCTTAAGCAGAATTCCCATTTCTCCTTTTGTTAAAGAAACGAAGGAAGAACTCGAAGAACTGAACAAAGAAATCAGAAAAACAGCCAATATCATCCGTGTTAAATTGAAGTGTAAGTATACCCTGTGAGTAAAAATATAAGCGCTGAAACCATGAAAAATAACACTATATAGAAATTTTTACGAAGGTGCCAGAAAAAAGTATCTTTGCTACTGTCACATGATCTATTTATATTTGTAAAATATACTCCCCTTCTATGTGTATTTTAATTTGGTCTCTGACCGCAATAAAGCTTACTTACTTACTTATCTTTGCTACAGTTCAGTGTAGATTGTTTTGTGGATCGCCTTCTTTGTACTTGTACTGCATGAAAGTTTTTTGGGGGGGATCTTAATTGTCATTATTAATCCAAGTGGTACCAAACATTTAATTTTTTATGTATGTATGTATGGACGTGGTGGCTCAGTGGCTAAGACGCTGAGCTTGTCGATCGAAAGGTCGGCAGTTCAGTGGTTCTAATCCCTAGTGCCGCGTAACGGGGTGACTTGTCCCAGTTTCTGCCAACCTAGCAGTCCGAAAGCACGTAAAAAAATGCAAGTAGAAAAAATAGGGACCACTTTTGGTGGGAAGGTAACAGCGTTCCGTGCGCCTTTGGCGTTGAGTCATGCCGGCCACATGACCACGGAGACGTCTTCGGACAGCGCTGGCTCTTCGGCTTTGAGACGGAGATAAGCATCGCCCCCTAGAGTCGGGAACGACTAGCACATATGTGCGAGGGGAATCTTTACCTGTATGTATGTATGTATGTATGTATGCATGGATGGATGGATGGATGGATGGATGGATGGATGGATGGATGGATGGATGGGTGAACGAATGAGGGGTAACAACTATCATCTCTGAGATTGTTTTGTCTGTTTCACAGCCATGGAACAAAGTTTAGCTCGAGAGGAGAACATCAATCGAACCTCTGCAGATGTCCGGATACGAAAATCACAGGTACACGTAGCAAAGGAAAGTCAGTCTTGGCAAACCACCATCAAAGATGAGAGAGCCCTAGCTGGGCAGGGGGTGGGGTGCGGGGGAGGGGTATTGTTTATAAATTCCTTGGGAGAAGAAAGGAAACTCGTGACATGCCTTTTGTTGGCCTGGTTTCAAAGAGAAGGACGGAGAAGAGAATCACAGGCTGCGTCTTGAATTTGCTTTAACTTCCCGCGGAGGAAGCGCATTGTGAGGCATTTTTGCTTCCTCCTCTTTCGCGGTGTCCAGTGTGGCATTGAAAAGGGTGTCAAGGCTCTTGTTAAAAAGAAAAGAATGGTCTTGCTGAATCGTCTAAACAAGGAGCCTAGTTGGATGTCGGCCATCATTCTTAGTGTGACCTATTGTTATGGGAAAGAGTGAAAACTAGAGCTAGGCAGGCAGGCACTTATATAAATGAAATAGGTAGGTAAATAGACAGGTAGGCAGGCAGGCAGATGGCAGACCGACAGAGAATAGATTTAGACTAGACTTAAAGGTAAAGGTACCCCTCGCATATATGTGCTAGTCCTGACTCTAGGGGGCGCTGCTCATCTCCGTTTCAAAGCCGAAGAGCCAGCGCTGTCCGACGACGTCTCCGTGGTCATGTGGCCGGCATGACTCAATGCCAAAGGCGCACAGAACGCTGTTCCCTTCCCATCAAAGGTGGTCCCTATTTTTTCTACTTGCATTTTGTTACCTGCTTTCAAACTGCTAGGTTGGCAGAAGCTGGGACAAGTCACGGGAGCTCACCCCATTACGCGGCACTAGGGATTTGAACCGCCGAACTGCTGACCTTTCGGCGTTTAGTCATGCCGGCCACATGACCACGGAGACATCTGACAGCGCTGGTTCTTTGACTTTGAAACGGAGATGAGCACCGCCCCCTAGAGTCGGGAACGACTAGCACATATGTGCGAGGGGAACCTTTACCTTTATGTCCTCCCTCCCTGGGGGCTGGGGTTGGTCATATGTGAGACACTTTCTCAGATTACATTTCTGCCCTGGACTGAGGTTTCTTTTATCCAACTGTTGTCTTGGTAGTGGCTCTTTCTTCTGTTCCTCAAGGCCATTCATTCTACCCATTCAATCTCTCCTTTTTTTAAAAAACAAGTTTATTGTTTTTTTTTCTCCTCTCCCACATTCACCCACATTTTTTTTTTTTTTTTTTGGACAGACTGTTGGCCGTTTCTTACCTTATACAATTAATCAAATTCAAATACATTTTACTTAATTACAATTCTACAATATTGAGATAAACATATCTCAATATTTCTATATTTTCATACATAAACACCATCTTCATTTGTCCCTAAATTCTAATTTTACTGCATATTTATTCTCTTTTATTCTTAAACAGTCCATTCTTTACCTTAATATATTTATCCATTCGATCTCTCCTTTCAATAAACATCTGCAACCCTCTGTCTGACTTAATCAGTAATGTCTGTAAAGGCCTTTGCTACAAAAGAGAACTCTCAAAACTAACTATGTGCAAAATCCCCTTTGTTATGTCACCCTTTCCAGCATTCAGTGTTGACCCGGAAGTTTGTGGACGTTATGACGATGTATAACGGAACTCAAACCATCTTCCGGGAACGCACGAAAGACCAGATACGCCGTCAGTTGGAAATAAGTGAGTGATCTTTCCTTTGTTAATTTTCTCCTGCTCCGAAGAACCCGCCCCATCTTGCCAATGCTTTATAGCAGTGTTGGCGAACCTTTTCGGCAGCAAGTGCCGAAACGGGAATGCGCATGCACACAGGCAGGAAATTGGAAGAGCAGCTGCCCGGTCCGCATGCGCTCACCGGGAAGATGATCTTCCAGTTTCCAGCATGCCTTCTGGTTTCTGGCACGCATGCACGCTCAAAGACCAGCTGGCGCATTGGAAACCGAAAGAGCAGCTTGTTGTGGCCCCGTCCTCTGAGCCTGTCCCATCGGAGGAAGAAAGCTCCGAGCATGAGGAAGAGGAGTCAGCCAGGCCTCCCTCTCCAGGCCCCTCCCCTCTGGCACTGTCTCAGGTGCCGGCCGAGGGAGAGGAGATTAGCCGGGAGACAGGTGTCTCGGATGAGAGTGAAGGAGAGACATCATTCCTGGACGCACGCCACCGAAGGCGTGATAAACGATTGCAGCAGCTCAAGAGGCGTGCTAGGGATTAGAACTCAGTCACTGGACCACACCCCAGAGACTATATAATAGAGGGTGGTGGCCAGTGATCCCTGTGACGAACAAAAATAAACCTTGGATAGTCACTAAAGCATCGTCCGAAACTGCTGAGAGGAATATTATTTCTGTTGGACTCTTGTACGCTGAGTATATTATCTTTCTGTTTCTGTGGAAATAAAAGCACTTGGCAGACGGTGTGTATATCGCTGCCAAGTTGGAGATAAAGACCTGGGTATGTGCCAAGTGCTTCCTTAACCCTCGGCTGGCTGTGTTTGTGTGTGTGTGTGGACGGGGACAGATCACAGCTGTCCAGTGTGCCCAGGTTCCAGCGGGCTGGTCTTTGTGCATGTATGCGCACCAGAAACCGGAAGACCAGGTAGCCGGCATGCACATGCGCTCTTCCGGTTTCCATGCTCCTTCACACGTGAAGACCAGCTGGCTGGCGCACCAGAATCGAAAAGAGCAACAGGCGAAGGCTCGCATGCCCGGAGAGATGGCTCTGCATGCCACTTCCGGCACGCAGGCGTTATAGCAAAAATGAGCCTTGGTAGTACAGTGGTCTAAGGCACCCTGTTATTAAGCTGGTTATTAAGACCAGCTGCCTGCAATTACTGCAGGGTTCGAATCTCGCCAAGGCTCAAGGTTGACTCAGCCTTCCATCCTTTCTAAGGTAGGTAAAATGAGGACCCGGTTTGTGGGGGCAATAAGCTGTCTTTGTATAAAATATACAAAAGGATGAAGGCTATTGCTGAGCACATTGTAAGCCGCCCTGAGTCTTCGGAGAAGGGCGGCATATAAATAAATAAAAAAAAAAAATAGCAAAAATAAAATGCCAGGGAAAGGGGGATGGATGGCGTACCTTGCAAGAACCTGACCTCTTGCCATTTTTCGCTAGCTGGAAAGACCACCACGGATGAGGAGCTGGAAGACATGTTGGAAAGCGGCAATCTTTCCATTTTCACTTCGGACGTACGTATTTCAAATCTGCGTTTGTTGGGTTGGGTGTGGCAAAAAATATGGGTTAAAAATAAAACAGTGGGTTAGAAGGAATGATAAAGCAGCAAACAGACTTAAAACCAGAAATGTTTTTGTTGGGTATCCTACCGGAAAAATATAATAAAAGAAATACATATTTAATTTTACGTGTGGTGACAGTAGCGAGAATTGTGTATGCACAAAATTGAAAAAAGAGAGGAAAGCGTAATAAAGAAAATATTAGAATCTGCTGGAATGGATAGATTAACATTGAAAATTAAGGCTAAGGAGGAAACAGAATACTTTTTAACTTGGGAATTATTTTATCAATGGTTAGAAAATAGAAGCAGAAGTTAGAAATTTAAAATCAAGGGGGATATGTAAATAAAAATGAAGTAAGTGTAATTAAATAATGAATATTGAATAATTATGATAAGTAAACATGATTAATAGATGGATAATGGTTACAAATGTGACATTTATCAGGTTTGACAATATTAACTAATTATAGACAAAACAGTGTTTAATTAAATAACGGAAAGTGTTTACAAGGATAAGTGAAGATCATGGTGAATAGACTTTGAGAATAATGGTTACAATTATTGTGTGTATAAGGTTTATTATCTGTATTTAAAAGAGATTGTAGCCAGAGAGTACACTGCCATTGTGGATATAGACATTATATATATATAACAAAGGAAATTGCATAATAAAAAATATTTTTTTTAAAAAATCTGCATTTGTTGGTTTAAAAGTTTAGTTTAGTTTGTTTTATTGATTAGCCCACGGCAGAGATGGGTTTCAGCAGGTTCTGACCAGTTCTGGAGAACCGATAGTGGAAATTTTGAGCAGTTCAGAGAACCGGTAGTAAAAATTCTGACTGGCCCTGCCCCCATCTATTCTCTGCCTCCCGAGTCCCAGCTGATCGGGAGGAAATGGGGATTTTGCAGTAACCTTCCCCTGGGGTGGGGAGGGAATGGAGATTTTACATTATCCATTATGCCTACCATGCCACGCCCACCAAGCCACACCCACAGAACCAGTAGTAAAAAATTTTGAAACCCACCACTGGCACACGGGCCATATCAAAAGTGGCTCCAATGTAGATTTTTATCTTTTGGGTCCAATGGACCTTTGAGGGAATATAAGCAAATGGAATTAAAGCCCAAGTGCCTACAAGTTCTTCTTATCAAAAGGAAATGAATAAGCGTACTTATTTCGTGTCTCTCCCTTCCTCCCGACATCGCGAAGATCATTTTGGACACCAAACTAACCAGAGCAGCCGTCGATGAAATTGAGTCACGTCATAAAGATATTATAAAACTGGAATCGAGCATACAGGAATTGCACGAAATGTTCATGGACATGGCAATGCTGGTGGAGGTTCAGGTGAGTCTTTCAATCCTGAAGTATAACATGGATGGTGCTTTGTAGGTGGAACCGTGCTGGAATAATGTTGTTCTTAGTTGCGAAGCCACGTCCGACCCATCGCGACCCCATGGACAACGTACCTCCAGGCCTTCCTGTCCTCTACCATCCTCTGGAATCCATTTAAGCTCACACCGACTGCTTCAGTACTCCATCCAGCCACCTCGTTCTCTGCCGTCCCCTTCTTCTTTTGCCCTCCATCGTTCCCAGCATTAGGCTCTTCTCCAGTGAGTCCTTCCTTCTCATTAGGTGGCCAAAGGATTTGAGTTTCCTCTTCAGGATCTGGCCTGGCACCTGTGGTGGCCAAGTACTAAGGCAGTACTTCCCTCAAACCCTCCCTGCCTTCTCATTATAATCTCCTTCCTTCCTTCCTTCCTTCCTTCCTTCCTTCCTTCCTTCCTTCCTTTTTCCTTCCCTCTTCTCCTTTCTTCCTCTTCAGGATCTGGCCTTCTAAAAAGCAGTCAGGGTTGATCTCCTCTAGGACTGACCGCTTGGATCGCCTTGCAGTCCAAGGGACTCACAGGAGTCTTCTCCAGCACCGTAGTTCAAAGGCCTCCATTCTTGGAATAATAACCGTTGTTATTAAAAGACTGGTCTCGCCACGTGGGAAATGGCCTTCTAAGATGGTAGAATCCCCGTTCTAAGCAAATGGTACTAGCTTAGTAGCTATGGAGATCACATGTAAAATAGGATATACTGGTTTGGCACCCTTCCCGGTTCTGTATTCAGCAGGAAAACAATAATAGCTGGTAATTTTAGTAAAAGACCTTGAGTCATGGACGCAGTGTACTCGTCACATTGCATTACACTTGTGTAATTTGTGAAACATTGGTGCAAAACAATTCTATCTATATCTTATCCTACCCTACCCTATCCTACCTTGTCTGTCTGTCTGTCTGTCTGTCTATCTATCTATCTATCTGTCTATCTATCTATCTATCTATCTATCTATCTATCTATCTATCTATCTATCTATCTATCGTCTCTGCATCAGTCTCATCTATATCTCATCAATCATTCTATCATTCTATTTATACAGGGGTTGTCTTCAAAAATTTTAGAAAGGGGTTCTCTGCCTGGTAGCTGGGTGGGCGTGGCCATGGTGGGCATGGCCTAGTTGGCCTCCTGCAATTCGGCGGGAAAGGGACGTTTTTGCTCTCCCCGGGATCCGGATGTTTTTTTCAAGCTTCTGGGAGGGCGAAAACGGCCTCCACAGGCTCCGGAGGCCCTGTGGAGGCCGGAAACGGGCCCGTTTCCTGAACTTCCGGTAGGCCTGTCTTTCGCCCTCCCCAAGCCTCTGCGCGTGCCCTGCCCTTACCTGCATCCAAAACGGGCCGCGGGGAGACTCCTGGGAGGGGTGGGCGGGGCCAGCCAGGAGTGGGATTTGGGGGTTCTCCGAACTGCACAGAATCTTAGCTAGAGGTTCTCCCGAACCCCTGAGAACCCCCAGCAGCCCCACCCCTGGATAAATCAGATACAAATTCCAAATAGTATTTTCTGGTTGAAAAACGTTTCTCAGGGGCGCTCATGGCTGTGACTATTTCTTGGGAAACCATTTACTGTATATGGGTGTTTAGATCAGTTTCGAATTCTCTTCTCCCAGAAAGCTTTCCTTCTAAAATCTAAAAATTATCCCATGCGCTTACGAATGTTTTCCATCCTTTAGCACAGGATGAAATTAGTTGCCCTACTGTTCACCCTGCTAATCTGAATTTTCATGAGCTGACACTTTTAAGTTCCTTTCTTGAAAAAGTCACAGAAGTGAATGTTGTAATGAGCTTTTTAAACGTTTTGCTGTTTATTGCTGCATAATCATGTCTGCTGATGGATAGGACAACTCAGGTAAACTCTCTCCTGTTAATATATTCATCTTTTTTTCCCATGCCATTCCCCAAATTGCTTCATCAAACCCACATCAATGGCATACATACACCGGCATTTTAATCGAGGTAGATTTCAATTATTGTTAGTCGAATGGGCTTTATTTTAGTTCCTGCTGCTTTCAGTCAAGCGGTTGGGGAATCTTACGTTTTGCCAACTTTGGCAACTTGGAAGATATGTGGACTTCCACTCCCTATTAGGATGTCTGTACTGAGCAAGCTCTACAAAATAAAATAACATTCATTTTTGCAATCCAGCTTTCTGGTTTTTACTCTTTTGTTTTATTTTTTCCCCTCTCTCCTGCTTTGTTGATGTGATTTCTGGGTATCCCAGTTAAACTCCCAACATTTAATCTCGAATCTCGCTGTTTGAGGAAGTTGCACAACATTCTCAGAGACTCTTCCCATCCTGCTTACAATCTTTTTGGACTCTTGCCTTCTGGCAGAAGATACAGAATAATTAAAACTCAGACCACACATTTTCTGAATCGGTTTTGTCCCAGAGCTATAATTGCACTCAACCATGAACTAAAAGGGCCACCATCAGTGAGCTATTGGACGGAATTACTTGGTCTTTTGTGTGGATGTTTGGGTGGTTTTAGGGGTGGGGAATTTGTGGTAGGTGGGGGTGTGTTTGGGGATTGTTATGTGTGTTGGACATGGTCGTTGGGTGTTCCGTGAATTTCGTTGTATGGGTATTCTGTGTATACACGTACAACGACAATAAAGTTATTATTATTATTACTAAAGGAATAAATAAAGGCAGCCTAATATTTCCATCTCGGTTTCCGTGAATGCCCTCATAACCGTTGGTCATCTTCATGTAATAATTCCATTCTTGGCTTGATTCGAACGGGGCGTCATTGCCATTCTGCTGTTGTCGAAAGGATTCCCAGAAGGTGACATTAACGGCCAATTTCTGCTCTTTGTTGTTTTGTTGTGTGCGTTTCTGGCTTTTCCCCCAAAGGGCGAAATGGTCAACAGCATCGAGAAGAACGTGATGAACGCGGTGGATTACGTAGAACACGCCAAGGAAGAGACCAAGAAGGCCGTCAAATACCAAAGTAAAGCTCGTAGAGTAAGTTTTTCCCATGGACAAACCCTGACCAGTCGTTTCTCAGTGTACTTTTTTTTTATATATATTGTGTGTTGTCTTGCTTACCCACCGCAGTCCTTCCCGTGCCACAGTCCTTCCAGCATTACAGAAAGTCCTCGACTTACAACCTCAATGGGGAGCTGAATTTCTGTCGTTAAGCGTGGCAGTTTATTTTTTATTTATTTAGTTTAGTTTAGTTTAGTTTAGTTTATTTGATTTGTATACCGCCCTACTCCCGAAGGACTCAGGGCGGTGAACAGCCACAGAATAAAACACATGAATACAAAAATTTAAAATAGAATAAAAACGAATTAAATAATTTGGCTGAGACAAATTTAAAATACCCAATAATTTAAAAACAGATTAAAATTTGCATTTAAAAAGGGGAGAAGATTTAGGCCAGGCCAGCTTGATGAAATAAAAAAGTCTTGAGCGCGCGACGGAAGGTGCGCAGATCTGGGATCCTCCGTATCTCCAGGGGGAGCTCGTTCCAGATCGTAGGTGCCCCCACAGAGAAGGCTCTCCCCCTGGGGGCTGCCAGTCAACATTGTTTGGCCGACGGCACCCGGAGGAGTCCCTCTCTATGAGAGCGTACTGGCCGGTGGGACGCTATTGGTGGTAGTAGGCGGTCCCATAGATAACCAGGTCCTAAGCCATTTATTTTTTATTTATTTATTTTTTATTTTTATATGCCGCCCTTCTCCGGAGACTCAGGGCGGCTTACAATGCGTTAAGCAATAGCCTTCATACTTTTGTATATTTTATACAAAGTCAGCTTATTGCCCCCACAAACCGGGTCCTCATTTCACCTATCTTAGAAAGGATGGAAGGCTGAGTCAACCCTGAGCCTGGTGAGAATTGAACTCGCAGTAATTGCAGGCAGCTGGATGTTAAATGCTGCCTTAGTAGGAGGCATTAGCCTCCTACGCCACTCCAGTCGTGCCTGGTTTTATGACCTTTTGGCCACCGTTACTAAGCGAATGCCTACAGCTGTTTATAAGCGAATCATGCAATTGTTAAGCGAATCCATCTTTCCCTCCCCCTCCCCCCCTTCCCCCCACTGGCTTTGCTTGTCGGAAGCCAGCCGGGAAAGTCACAAATAGGGATCATGTGACCTAGGAAGGAAGGAAGGAAGGAAGGAAGGAAGGAAGGAAGGAAGGAAGGAAGGAAGGAAGAAAGAGGGAAGGAAGGAAGGAAGGAAGGAGAGGGAGGGAGGGAGGGAAGGAAAGAAAGAAAGAAGAAAGAAAGAAAGAAAGAAAGAAAGAAAAAGAAAGAAGGAAAGAAAGAAAGAAAGAAAGAAAGAAAGAAAGAAAGAAAGAAAGAAAGAAAGAAAGAAGATAGATGGGTGAGTGGGTGGGTGGAAGGATAGATGGATGGGTGGGTGGGTGGGCTAAATGAACGGTTGTAAGTCGAGGGAAGCCTGCTCATTTTGAGCCACTGTATCCGAGCTCCTCCCTGCCTGTTAAGAACTGACTCCCATTTCCATGTAGAAACCCCCCCCAAAAAAACCACCCTTAACCGAAAACAATCGCCTTGTTTTCCTTTGGCAGAAAAAATGGATTATTGTCATTGTTGTGCTGGTGCTGTTAGCTCTACTAGCTCTAATAATTGGCTTGGCTGTTGGAGTGCCGTGACGCTTAGATAACTGTCCGTGAGCAACTTCTCCCTGCTACCTCTCAGTAAGTACTAATCAACTCACTGGCCTCGCCTGTTAACCTTTTCTAAAACTGTAATCTGTGTATTCTCGCTGCAAGGTTGTGTGTACGCCTGCCTTTTTCCTAGCTGCCCGACAGCAAAAAAACAAAACAAAACAAAACAAAAAACCAGATTTTGCACAGAGACTTAGACCTCTGGTGGCTAATTGCCTCTTAAGCACTTTTGTTTTGCATTCCAATATTTTTTGGGCTAAAAACCCAGTTTGGTTTTGCACTGCTTCCCTGCCCCCCCCCCCCTTTTTTTTTTGGAAAGGCTAGGAAGATGGACGTTTGAGGTTTTTACGGAGAGTTTTTCATCAGTTTATAGAAGAGGACGGGATGAAGGGAGATTGAGGATTAAGATCAACCGTCTGTAATCCCCTCCTGATCTAGGCGAGCTTGATTTCAACAGATCTTTTGGGGAGGAGACGACACTCTAGATCAGTTGGCTACCCCATTCCTCCGTGCTATGTAACGGCTTGCATCTGTACTGTTATGATGAAAAATGCCAAAATAGAGCGCAGAGAAGAGCAACAAAGGTTGATCAGGGGACTGGAGGCCAAAACATACGAAGAACGGTTGCAGGAATTGGGTGTGTCTAGTCTAGTGAAGAGAAGGACCAGGGGAGACAGGATAGCAGTCTTCCAATATCTCAGGGGCTGCCACAAAGAAGAGGGAGTCAAGCTGTTCTCCAAAGCCCCTGAGGGCAGGACAAGAAGCAATGGGTGGAAACTCATCAAGGAGAGCTGCAACCTAGAACTAAGGAGAAATTTCCTGACAGTGAGAACAATTAATCAGTGGAACGACTTGCCTCCAGAAGTTGTGAATGCTCCAACACTGGAAGTTTTTAAGAAGATGTTGGATAACCATTTGTCTGAAGTGATGTAGGGTTTCCTACCTGGGCAGGGGGTTGGACTAGAAGACCTCCAAAGTCCCTTCCAACTCTGTTGTTCTGTTAATTCACATCTCACCTCTTTGGTTTTTTTACATCTGTACGTCACTGTTTGGGGGATGAGCTAATCCTAGTTTCCCCTCTCTTTGCAGAAATTGATGTTCATGCTAATTTGTGTCACTCTCTTGATTGTTATCGTTGGAATTATCCTAGCAGCACACTTCTCCTAGCCTTTATTCGGAGGTTGGGAATCTCCTTGAAACTCTTCCAACTTCTCATCAAGATGCCTTTTCTTGCCATAACGAGGATGTTCTGTTTTCCAAGATGGCAAAATTAAGTAGTTGTTTAAGGATCTTGTAGGACTCTTCACGCTTTGATATCTGTAGACCTGAATCAAACATGAAGGAAGCTGGAAAAACCTCCGAGATGGACTCATTTAAAGGCTGCTTTAATTTACATACATGCAAATATATATATATATATATATATATATGATGAGTTGCAAAGCTTCCAGCCCATCAGTGTTACCAGTTGGAAATGGGTAGAATTCATCACCCAGAAAACCAGAGATCTCAAAATTTTTGTCTTGTTTGAAACTAAAGCAGCCATAAATGCAATTGACTGTAGCCCTAAACACTACATTTCAGAGGTATGTTTCACGATAATAATTGCATTTTATTTTTTAAAGCAAAGAGGATTGAGATTGGGGGCATAAAATTATTTTCTCTTCTCTCCGGTTTTTGTGCCTTTTTAAAATCATCTTAAAAACTGCTGCATAATAAACAAAATGTTTTTTAACGTTTTAATCGCTTCAAGGACACAGGGTGGGGGAATCTTTAAGTGCCTCCTTTTTTAGCGGCGAATCTGCGAACGGTTTTTGAGAAACGTCAGCACTGTCGTTAAATAATGTTAGTTTACTCCTGGTCCCAGACTGAGACAGTTCACACATAAAGCTGGGGCAAAATCAGGGCTAGAGTTAAGTCTTTATGCTCAACTGTCCTCCAGCTGAGCAAAAACTATTTTGTTGTTGTTGTTGTTAATACAGAAGGTAGTTTGGCGTTACATTTGAGCCAGCGATCCTAGTTTATGATCTGAAACAGAGCAGCAAATTAGCCCAGGGCTTGAAATTGACACGACTTGAGCATTGACCAAAAGTTTGTTTGAAACCATCTTGTCCACTGACGTTTGCAATAAGCCAGTTTAGTTGCCTCATAAGATGAAATTAACCTTGACTTGAATCCTTGTGAGCCTTCAGAGGACGAAGAAAGCGTGCAGGAATCACAATTTTCAGTTCTGTGCAAAGCTAACACTAAACCCAGCTTTAGCGTCACGAGTGAACCGAAGCCTTCCTCATCTTAAAAGGTATATTTTGACTGTGAAGTTTCATTAAGCTATTTTGTTTTGTTCTAATTTCAGATTTATTTATTTTTTCTTTCTAAAGCCTCAGAAAGCACGACATGGTTGAGATGAGCGCGGGGTGGGTTGCACCTGATTTTAAGCTGCCTTTGAGAAGGGCCTTTTTGCTGTATCTTTGAACCCCTTCAGTTAAAGAACTGGAGAAAGGCCCGTTTTGTGTGAAACAAGTTCTCGTGTGCGATGCGAGTTTGCACAGTTTCTGCAGCTCTCCATAAATTTAGCAAGGCAACTGCAGAAAATGAATTTTTAGGTTGCACACACAAGTCTAATAAGGGAGAACGAAGAGGCCTTCAAGCTGAATTTTATTAATTCGCCTAAGCTGGAATATGAAAGGAAGGGGCTTACTTACTAATGGAGTAAAATTGGGATTGCATTTACAGCTTTTGTCTAAAGTGCATTCAAGTCCTTAACTTTCTTGTTGCAAACCAGCTGAGGAATTATGACGAACCTTGGTCATTATCTTTTTAAGGCTTGCGTCTTAAAACAAACCCTGATTTTGTTGGGAGAGGTGACTCCAAAAGTTGATGTGGTTTGCAAAGATCTCAGTTTAATGGTAGTTAGTTGCACTGAAGTCCCGCAGACTTTAACGGGGACATATTTCCCTCTAGATTTGAACCTGAAATGTCCAGCTGTTAAGAATTTTTAAAACAATTCAGAGGCAACCAAAATAAGTTGTGTCTTAACCTCGCTTAACTTTTTTTTTGTTTTTGTTTTGGTATGGTATTATTCCTGTAAATATATGTACATGTAACTGTGTTTTTGCTTTCTTATTGTTAAAATATATATGTAGCTATTTATGCCGAGAATGAAATAAATTGTGATAGGTGCCTTATTTGTTTTTTAACAAAACCTGCTTTGACATGCTTCTTTCGGCGTTTTGATTCAAGCATAACTTCAGGTTTATTTTACCTTGCCGCTAATCTTATTTCCTAGAAAACTTAAGTGTTTTATTGAACACATCGCTGAGGGCATAGTTTGTAGGCGTTTAATGCCCTCGATGCTAATTTTAGGAATTGGCATTTTGAAATATCAGTTCTTCCGCTCTGTGTAACTTCTAGGAAGTTTTAAAATGGGAAAGCTGGGCATCAGACGTTGACTTCGCTTGGCAATGGATTTGATTTTGCTTGGAAAGATACACTATGGAAGAATAATTGATTGGTTTATGGCTTTTTTAAAAAAAAATAATAGCAGCCTTTTATTACCCTGTTTCCCTGAAAATAAGCCCTAGAATGATTTTTATGTATGTGCCTAATATAAATCCTAACCCCCAAAATAAGCCCTAATTAAAAGCTAAGATCCAGTCTTATTGTCAGGGAAAACACGGTATTCATGGAGAGAGGTTTGGAAATAAACTGGGAAGAGGAAAAACTTCTCAGGTTATTTAACCTTTAAGTCCACTTTAAGATCTGTGGACTTCAACTCCCAGAATTTCCAAGTCCCCAGGTCTTAAGGTTGCCAAGGTTGGACACCTCTGTTTTAAGGCTTTGAAGTTTATTTTTATTGTCCTTTTAAAGTGGTCGCTTGACATCCTCAGTACAAGGGGGGAAAATGGTTTGGATATACACAGACTTCCTAAAAATGCAGTCCTTGCCGGTTTCCGTCTTTCATGCATATTTCTTTTCACGATGCTACAGCAACAGCTTTCAAGAATCTCCTACAGACGGCTCCGAATAGGGTTTTGCGCTGGCTAAAAAGAGGGAGATTTTGGTTAGCTGGGATTGATCAGGATTACAGCCAAGCTGGTTGGGAAGATCCACCTTCTCCCTTTCATCTGTGCCCAGGCCTTTGCAATATAGGCAGTCTCTCTGCTTTCTAACATTAAAACAATAAAATAATGGGAATTACGAGAAACATTTGAAAAAAAAAACCACAGCATTATAGCCCAGGCACTTCAGGCATGCGAAATCCTACCTAGCTGTTTTCTAATCATCTTTTAGTTCATTTCAGAGCTTCCTACAAAATAAATGCAAGGTGTTCAAGAGATTTATTTATTTTCCTGACCGGCTCAAGGTTTACTCAGCTTTCCATCCTTCCAAGGTGGGCAAAATGAGGACCCAGATTGTTGGGGGAAAGATGCTGATTCTGTAAACCACTTAGAGGAGGCTGGAAAGCACTTTGAAGTGGTATATAAGTAAGTGTTATTGCTATTCCTTCCTCCCTTCTCTCCCACCCTCCTTTCTCCCCTTCATTCTCTCCCTCCCTTCTCATTGCCCACCCTCCCTCCCTCCCTCCTTCTCATTGCCCGCCCTCCCACCTTCCTTCCTTCCTTCCTTCCTTCCTTCCTTCCTTCCTTCCTTCCTTCCATCCATCCATCCATCCATCCATCCATCCATCCATCCATGGTGTGCGCTGGTTAGACTGCAGTATTGCAGGCTAACTCTGCCGACTGCCAGCAGTTCGATTCTGACCAGCTCAAGGTTGATTCAGCCTTTCCATCTTTCTGAGGTCGGTAAAATGAGGACTCAGATTGTTTGGGGGGGGGCAATCAGCTCAGAGAGGGCTGTAAAGCACTGTGAAGTGGTATATAAGTCTAAGTGCTATTGCTATTTTTCGCAAAAGGGGGAAAAAAGAAGATCAAATTTGGCGATGTTTTCTGCCTGCACTTTGCCTGAATGACTGCAGCCCCGATGACTCAGAGCTTGCTAAATATAACTGGGGCACCCATATTATATCAGTGACAACGGTAACTGTTCACAAGTGTTCACAACGCCGGCTCGCTGGTTTGTTTTCCTGACTCTGTTAAACTTGCCTTGTCCATCATGAGATTGGGGTGGGATGGGAAAAGAGATGGCTGAATTCTTTACCCAGATAGTCCTCGATTTACAGCCGCAATTGAGCCTCAAATCTCTGTTGCTAAGTGAGACATTTGCTAAGTTGAGTTTTGCCCCATTTTACGACCTTTCTCGCCACAGTTATAAAGCGAGTTGCTGCGCTTGTGAAAGAACATAAACCCTCAAAAGCCCTGGTCAGCATCTTGGTTTATCCATGCAGTTGATCTGTTTTGTGACCCTATTTGGGGGCAGGATCCAAGGCACCTCTAGAGTGGTGCATCTCTCGATCCAAAGGAAGGCCAAGTCCTAGACTAGGGGTCTGCAACCTTAAACACTCAAAGAGCCATTGGGAACCGTTTCCCATAGAAAAGAAAACACCGGGAGCCACAAAACCCTTCCCGTGCCTGACTAGTTCTTGAGCGGCCACAAAACTAGCCTATGTAGTTGAATTAAACGTTCTGTTTTCTTCTGAAACTTTTCTTTTCTTGGATTTATCCATGGTTGAGTTACTGGGGGTCGAAAAGCTCAATAAATCGCGTGCCGGTGGGTATCACCCATTGGCGGTTGTAACGCATATTTTGAGCAACAGGGAGCCGCAGCAGAGGGATGAAAGAGCCACATGCGGCTCCAGAGCCGCAGGTTGCCGACCCTTGGACTAGACATTGTTTTGAACCAAGACAACCAAGAGAATTCGCAGCTCACCTTGGCTAAGCTTGGAAACAGAAATGGTAAGTGAGTCGGCCCTGCCAATTTTGATCGAGAGGTGAGAAATCACACACGCTCCATCCTTTTTATTGCAGATTTGAGAAGGGCTCTGTGTTTTTTTGAACGGTGAGACTCAGGCCAGTTTGAGCATGGGAGCCTGAATTTGATGCGCAAGAAAAACGATTTTGTAGAAAAATGAAGTGCAAGAGCCATCTCAAAGCTATTCCTCCAGCCATCATTCTCACATTTCTCTGGTTTCTTTTTCTTTTGATTATGATTTGGGGTTACTTGAACTCCCCTTTGTCGGTTGTCAGAATTCAGCGAGTTAGAGGCAGGGATTGCCTGCAAAATGAAGGAAGCGGGAGAAAGGCCAATGAAATAACACATGTTGTTTTGCTTGCTTTTCGAAGTCTCAAAAAAACATACCGTATTTTTCAGAGTATAAGATGATCCGGGCTATAAGATGCACCTACCTTTTTTGGGGAGGAAAACAAGAAAAAAAAAATCTGCCTCTGCCTCCCAGCAATTTTCTTCCTTTCAGCAAACAGCCTGTTTCAGTTTCATTTTCAGCACAACCTGATTAGCACAAGCAGCTGATTGTCGGTTGGATCAGCCTCCCAAAAATCAGCTGTTTCAGGCTGCAGGGATTGCCATAGCCTATTGCTGCCTCCGCGTGCTCCATTTTCCGGTGGAGTGGCGCATGGGCAGAGCTACATTCGGTGTATAAGACGCACCCAAATTTTCATCCTCTTTTAGGGGGGAAAAAAGTGTGTTTTATACTCCGAAAAATACAGTATGTTGACAATGGAGTTCCCGCTTAGTTCTTTCTCTGAGATTCAGTAGAGAATCATAAGTCAGTCCGTAGAAGAAAACTTTGCTATTAACTCGGCGAACCTAATTTCTTTTGTTCTCTCCAAGTCATTTCGAAATGCATTTTAGGTTGAAGGTTACTTTTCTCTTTTTCTGCTGTCCTGGATCCCTCCTGAACTCCAGCTCCATTAGACCTACATCTTAGCAATCAATAAACATCTTAAGTTTAACGTGTGATGTCTTTGGCTTTATCCTTTGTTTGGCACGTCAAAGTTTGATAGGAACCTTGTTTGCATCACGTCAATCATCCTTGATTTGGGTTTTGGAATTCTGGAAAGCGATGAAAAAAAAATGGACGCTGGATTTCCTCAAGGTGCAAGATAATTTTCTCCAATATTTCACTTTTATCTCACTCGTGTGTTTTTTTTTCCCCCCTTCGTGGCATCACCCTCCTGAACACCTACTTCCCACAGTACTGTCTAAAATGTCTATGCATATTTACCCATGTAATATGGCTACAGTATTATTATCCTTATTATCTTCTATACTGCCCGATCTTATTGGTATTGTTATTAGTCTGCTTTGCATGTATACTGAGAGTTTCAGCACCAGAGGCAAATTCCTTGTGTGTCTAATCACACTTTGTCAAATAAAAGCTATTCTGTTCTGTTCTGTTCTATTCTAATCTGTTCTATTCCGTTCCGTTCCATTCCATTCTCTATTCTCTATTCTCTTCTTTGATTCTATTCTGTTCTATTTTCTATTCTATTACTCTATTCTATTTTCTATTTTCTATTCTATTCCTCTGTTCTATTTTCTTTTTTGGGGGAGGTATTTTTTTTTTATTTTTAAACATATATCAATATCATCAATATCATTGCATGGACAATGTGCCATCTGAGTATCATTCATTTTGATACAAAACCCATATTAATACAAATAAGAATTACTACAACGAACATGGTCTATTGTTATTATATATATATATATATCGGCGCATATTCCTTCATTTTTCAATTAATCAGTATTTACTACATCCTAATAGTCATAACACTGTTCCTGAGCGTATCTAATATCCTTTTTCAAAGTCTAATCTTAGACTCTGACGTTCACTTTAAATGTTATACAAAAATATGTATAACAATATTCTCCCTAATTCTAATTTTTTAATCTATTTAGTCTGTTCTAATTCTCAGTACAGCCAATATTATTATTATTTTTTAAAGAAATCCTTTTTATCCATCATCTCTCACCCTTTTGGAAATTTCCCTTCTTCTCTTTTTTAACTTAGCACCCATATTCCTCCCTTACGTCCTCATCTACATCTTTCATTTTCCATCCAACCATTTTTTCCATCTCTGCTATTTTTGTCCACCCATGGGTCTATTTTCTATTCTACTCTACTCTACTCTACTCTACCCTACCCTACCCTACCCTACCCTACTCTATTCTTATGTCTATTCTATTCTTGTGTCTACTCTATTCTACTCCACTCCACTCCACTCCACTCCATTCCCTTCTACTCTACCCTACTCTACTCTACTCTCCTTTCTTCTTCTCTGC